TGGGGGGGGACCTACCTACTCATGATACCATGTTCAAGTGAAAGAATGTCTAGAACAAGGCATACAAGGAATATTCCCTAATGGGTTGTACTCCCTAAGGCACAACCCTATTTAGTCTATAGAAACATACAATATATGTTTGACATCCTTCTCCACCGCCGTTGCCGCCGCAGAAGCTGCCGCCGTCGCCGCCGCAGCAGCAGCTGCCGTCACAGCTGCCGCAGCAGCCGTAGTCGCCGCCGCCGCAGCTGCAGCTGCCACAGAGGTTTGCGAGCTCTGGGGAGCAGGCGTTGAGGAGGGTGCTCATCCTGGGGGGTACTATCGTGGCTTGTCCCGGCAGTCCTGGGGGTGGGCACCAGTGCTGGAGAGGGTTCTCGTTCTGAAGGGTGCTGGTTCAGGGGGTGCTAGTTCTCGGGGTACTGTCGTGGCTTGTCCCGCGGTCCTGGGGGTGGCACAGGTGCTGGAGAGGGTTCTCATTCTGGGGGTGCTATTGTGGAGCGTCTCGGAGGTAGCCGTGGTGCGGCTGGAGGTTCTGGCGTCGGCGTGGAGCAGTAACAGCAGTCGCTGCCTCTGTCCGCCCTTCGCCTCCTGGGGCTTCCCTCCCCGACTGCCCGCTTGCTCCTCCCCCGCCGCCGCCTCCTCGCCTGACACGTCCCCGACTCGATTACCCCCTTGTTCTCCTCCTGCATCTCCTCCCTTGTCTCCTTGCCCGACCCCTTGTCTGATGCCCCTCCGCAAGTGGTCTTACTGTGCTTCTCGTGCATATCCTGTTTCTCCTGTCCACTGTGTTTTGAGTGCGTTGAGGCATCAGAGTCCACAGAAAGGAAAATGCAGAAACAACAGTCTCATACGTAAAAAAAAACCTTCTTTGGCAGGGTCCATTCCAAAGAAAAGTCTTTGTTTCCTGATATCGTTGGGCCTGGACCAGCCTAAGTTCCGGAACTTGCCAATTTCCGGAACTGTAAGACACACGACCTTACCCCCCCTTGCAGCTTTCATTCGCCCGCCCCTCCAATTTTGCCTTCCACGCGCAACTCGCTTGAGTTGCAAGTAAGTCAAACGTGTCGCACTGAACATTTCGTCAAGCCAGCAACATAACCCAAGCCCCTGTCCATCGGAAGTTCAAAAACAGTTTTGCTATTATAGTGAATGGCTTCAAAGGGCAATAAAGAACAGGGTGGTTTTAAATATGCCCAGTGTAAATAGGGCTGCAAAATCTTTACCCTGAAAAATCAGACTACAAGAGTTAGGTACCCAGTGTGACAGGGTGTTTTGGTGAGGCGAACCTGTTTTCAAAGGGCGGCCCAAAACCAATTTTGGGCCCTGTGTGAGACCAAAAGCAAGCGATCGATAGGAGCCTAGGGAGTGAGAACTGGCGGAGACATGAGGGGGGAGAAGGCCGCCTTCCCTGTCCCCTTCCCACTGCCCGTTGGTGGCACATTCCACATGCCTTACCAACCCCTCTCTCCCGCCTGAACATTCTTCCAACCCCCTGCCTCCCCACTTCCTCCCCACCCATCTCCAAACCTGCACTCTGCCATACCCTCCCCTATCCCCTCCACCCCCTTACCCGCCGCACTCTGCCATACCCGCAAGAGGGGAGGGGCAGGGAGGGAGAAGGCTGTGGGGAAACCTGAGTATGGGAGGGAAGAGGAAGAGGAAGGGTATGGGGAGGCCTGGAGGAGGGGAGGGGTGAGCATTGAAGAAGCATTAGGACTTGCAGAGTGGAAAATACAGGAGGGGAAAGGGGAGGAGGGTGGGGGGGAGGGTAGCGAGGTTCGGTGGCGAGAAGATGGTATGGGGACTGCGGGACTGGTGCCATGGCATGGGCACTGGCACACTTCATGGCTTCGGCACCCATGAGTCCGCCCCATCTCGGGCTGCCTCATTGTCGTCACCCAACTTGCCGTTGCCCACTGCTACATCGAATCCATGGCCATCGCGAGTACGCAAGTGTGGCTGGGTGAGGGGGGCAGTATGGGAGAGGGGGCGAGAGAATGAGAGAGGGGGGAGAGCAACGGAGGTGTGGTGAGTTCAAGGGAAGTGGTGGAACAGAAAGGGCGGTGTGGGGAGTGCAAGGAAGGTTGGGGGAGACCATTCAGAGGAGAGAGAGCAGGGATGTATGAGATGCGTGATATCAGGGGAGGGGGAAGGCAGGAGAGCAGGGAGCAAGTGAGAAGTGATATAGGGAAGGGAGAGAGGGGTACAAGCAGGGAAAGAGAGAGTGCATGGGAGGGGGAGATAGGTGAGAGCAGGGAAGGGGAGAGGCATGAGAGCAATGGAGGGAGAGAGGTGTTCGGGAAGGCAGCAAAGAAGGAAACATACTTGGCAGTGGCACACTGGGTAACTCGCAAAACCAGAGCGCATGATCAGGGCGTTGCTGTCGTTCCTCTGCATCCCCCCCTCTCTCGCCCTGCCACCCCCCTCTCTCGCCCTGAATCCCCCTTCTCTCGCCCTGCATCCCCCCCACTCTCGCCCTGCAACCCCCCCTGCTCTCGCCCTGCATCTCCTCCTGTTACGGGATCGAATGTGTCGAGGAAAGGTTGCACTATCGATTGATACAAGGCGCTTTTATACTTCAAAGGTACATCAGGTAACCAGGTCTATCCTATCCCAAGGGAATAGACCCTTCTAGAAAATAGAATCACCCTGCGTATAGCCACGCGAGGCTATTGGCTTTAAGGGATTACAGCAGGATTACGCTAGATATAGCGCGCCAGTACACCCCGAGACTGATCGGTGGTGATATAATGATAATAACAGGATGAACCAAAGGTTTATGGAAAAGGAGGAATGGGAATCCAAATGGAATGAGATAAAGACCAAATGAATCAGGATAAAGAGAGGAATGAAATGGAAAGGGAATATGGAAAGAAGAAAGGAATGGAACGGGGTCGTACTCTCACATCCCCTCTCTCGCCCTGCATCCCCCCCTCTCTCACCGTGCATCCCCCTCCTTCTCGCTCTGCATCCCCTCCTTCTCGCTCTGCATCCCCCTCTCTCTCACTCTGCATCGCGAATGCATCGCGGATGTGCCCTAATTCGAGAGGCGCTGCATCTCATTGCCCACCCTCTCCCTCGTGGCGCTATTATGCCCTCTTGTATAACGCCCTAAGTCGAGCCATCCCAAATTCTGTGAGGTCGAGGTGGTGGGGATTTTCTGATGTACTACAGCGTTGCCCTGTAGATCTTCCCATCTGGTTGCTTTCTTAAGCGCGCGACTCGGGAGAGTTCGTCGAAAGTTAGAGGAACATGTGAAGCGGATATGCCCTAACTCGAGAGGTGTTGCCGACTTTGCGTTTGATTCTAAGTATGCCTTAGGCTTGGAGGAAGCTTGGGCTTATCTCGAATGACGAGTTGCGATCCACCAATACTGGACTAGCGCGCAATATCCACCTTAAACAATGGAAATGCGATATCCACGTGACTTTCGGCCGAGTCTACTCTGAGTTGCTTGCAGAAGCGGAAATTGACACAAGCAGGAAATTGACACAATTGTAAAGCCAGTGTTTTAACTTTTCCTGCTTCCCTTTACTCCCAAGACTGTTGACATTGAAACCGCAGATCGACAGGTGGTTGCTAGCCATTGACTACAACTACGAGCGCCCCCACGCATCCACGGGGCGAAGGAAGACGAAGTATTGCCGGCGACGCTGCCACAAATACCTCATGACTACATCGCAGAGTGGATACTACAAGGCATACACTGTAAAGCCAGTGTTTTAACTTTTCCTGCTTCCCTTTACTCCCAAGACACTGTATCTAACACTAAGAAAATTCTCCCCTGAGATCAACTGTGGTCAACCGCACTGCAAGCAACTACAACAACAAAAGGAGAATCCAGCTACCAATCTAGGACAACATAGGAGATATCCCAGTTGGAGACACTTGCCAGGTTCGAGAAGGACGTGAAGAACCATCACTGGATTTCTGGCAATAACAACAGATGCAGAAGACGACGGAAAGAAAGCCTCGGAACCTCCGAAAAAAATCAAGGAATTACTAAAGGATTTCCAAGACATCCTTCTCGATGATTTTCCCAATGAGCTACCGCCATACCAAAAGCACCAACACGAGATCGTGGAAGAACCAGGTTGGAAGCCGACCTTCTAAGCACCATACCACTTAGCCCTACAGCGCTAGCCAACATGAAGAAACAGATCGAGTATCTCCTCGAGAAAGGACTCATGTGACCGTCCACTTCACCATACGGTGCCCCAGTACTCTTCACACTGAAACCGGATGGCAGCTTGTGCATGTGTATCGATTACCGAGCTCTCAATAAGCAGCCCATCAAGAATAAATATCCAATTCCACGAATCGATGACCTGCTTGACTAGCTTTGGGGAGGCACTGTATTTTCCAACTGGATTTGCGGTCCGGATACTGGCAGATAAGAGTGGCGGATAACTCCATCCACAAAACTGCCTTCCGAACTCAGTACTGGTCGTACAAAAATCTGGTAATGCCGTTCGGACTTACCAACGCGCCAAAAACTTTCCATGCCAAAATGAACCACATTCTACGTCCACTCTTGGACGAATGCGTGGTGGTGTATCTGGACGGCATCCTCATCTACTCGCGCGACATGAAGCAGCATGTCGAACACCTGCGACGTGTCTTCAACATTCTTCGACAACAAGGATTCTACATCAAATTATCCAAGAGCGAATTCGCCCTCAAGTAGGTTCAATTTCTAGGACACATGGTGAGCGCTCAAGGAATTCACGTCGACCCCAAGAAGATCGAAGCCGTAAGCACGTGGAAGACACCCGAGAACGTGAAGGAGTTGCAGGAGTTCCTAGGCTTCGCCAACTATTACAATAAGTTCGTGCCATAGTATACGAAAATCGCCGAACCACTCACGAATCTGCTAAAGAAGTATATGCCTTAAAATTGGGAACCAAAACATCACAAAGCCATGGAGAAGGTGAAACAAGCACTCGCGTCCGCACCTGTCCTCATCTTGCCAGACGCGTAACGCGACTACGTCATCAAAGCTGACGCCAGTGACCAGGCAGTGGGAGCAGTCTTGACGCAAGACCAGGGGAATGGACTACAACCAATTGCCTACCTCAGCAAGAAACTGCACGGGGCAGAACAAAATTACCTGATACATGACAAAGAGGTCCTTGCTATTGTCATCACCTTCAAAACGTGGAGATGTTATCTTGAAGGACGAAAAACAACCGTCTATACCGACCACTGCAACCTGAAATATTTGAAGACACAGCCAGACCTTTTCAGGCGGCAGGTTCTGTGGATTGACTACCTTGAGACGCCCTTCCAATACGACATCGTGTATAAGCCCGGCCACAAAAACAAAGCAGACGCTCTCAGCCGGCCTGCACAGGTTGCCGCTATCCAGGTAAGGGATGGATCAGCTACTCTAGGGACTCTTCACACACGTGTACACCATCGACCCCGAAATTCTCTTGGCAGAGAAGCAGCATCTGTTACAGTGGGACAATGACATCACGTACTGGAAAGGCTCAACGAAAATCTAGGTACCTAACAATCCGCCTTTGCGCCAGTTACTACTCGAAGAATACCACGATGTTCTGTACGTCGAACACTTCGGTAGCAACAGGATGCTCTTTGGTATTGCAAAACACTACTACTGGCCCCACATGGTAGATGACGTACAGAAATTTGTCACCTCGTGCGACACATGTCAGCGGATGAAGAGCACCAAGCAGAAAAAAACAGGACCGCTACAGCCTCTTCCTATCCCAGAATAGCCATGGCAAGTGGTTAGCCTGGACTTCATAACTGGGTGACCAACTGCCACAAGCGGTCACGACGCAATCCTTTTCATCATTGACAAATTCTCTGTAATGGGACACTTCATCCCGACACACACGACAGCACGCACCGAGGAGACGGCACAACTGTTCGTTTGCTACATCATCTCCTAGCATGGCATTCCAACCACACTCATCTCTGACTGAGACCCTAAGTTCACCAGCAAGTTCTGGAAGGAACTAATGCCTCTGCTCGAGACCAAACTCGCCATGTCCTCTGCATACCATCCACAGACAGCCGGACAGACCGAACGTCTCAACCAAATTGTAGAGCAACTCCTCTACGCTGAATGCAAAGACGAAATCTCTAAATGGGACTTGCATTTGCCCATCTTTGAGTTTGCCTACAACAACGCCACTCATGTTGCTACCGGACGGACGCCATTCTTCCTCTTTTATGGACGCTTCCCTCACTTCATAGAAACCAACAGCACTAGCCACAATCCAACTGGACACGACTTCATCACCATCATAAATCGGCTTTGGGATCGGACCCACAAGCACCTCCTCGATATTCAGCAACAACAAAAGCGCCAGGTTGATCGCCACCGCAATCACCACACCATCATCGTGGGAGACCGTGTTCTACTTGACACGCGCAATCTTGGCATCAGCCATCTCCCATCCAAACGACCTCGCTTCTCCGGGCCCTTCCTCGTTGAAGCACAGGTCACCCCCGTTACCTTCCGCTTGCGCCTGCCAGCTACTTGGAAGATCCACAACGCCTTTCATGTCCAACTTCTGAAACCCTACCGAGATCCGAACATGATCTTCACTGGATACAAACCGCTGCTGCCGCCTCCCGTCCTCGTCCATGATGAAACGTGAGTATGAGATAGAGTCTGTGCTTCGCACCACCGTCGTTGGCATGGCACCTTGGAGCTTCTTATCCTTTGGAAGAGTTATGATCTTTTTGAGGATAGCTGGGTCTCTGAATCTGATATGGGTAACACTCGTCTTCCTTTTCCCGACTACCTTGTCAAGCAGGGTGTTACTTCTATCACCCAGCTTTGAGGGGGGGAAGTGTGATGAGAGTACGACCCCGTTATACTTTTTTCTCAATTCTATATTTCTTCCCGAACTCATTCCTCTTGTTATCCTTATTCATTTGGTCTAAATCTCATCTCATTTGGTCTCCTATTCCTCATTTTGCATTATCCTTTGGTTTATCCTGCTAGTATAATTATATCACCGACCAGGCTCGGGATGTATTGGCGTGCTATATCGAGCGTAATCCTGCCGTAATCCCTTAAAGCCAATAACCTCGCGTGGCTATACGCAAGGTGATTCCATCTATAGAAGGGTCTATTCCCTAAAGATAGGATAAACCTATATACCTGATGTACCTTGGAAGTATAAAATCACTTTGTATCGATCGATAGTGCAACTTTTGCTTGACCAATTCGGTCCAGTGACAATATTCGAGTCCTCATAGCCCAATGACTTTCAACTGAATCATACAACATGCGTCACCGACCAATCCATCACCTACATCACCTCCATGGAAGCTGATAGGTGTGATTCGAAGCGCCGAGGTTACTAAGAATTGAGGAATCCGCGTTACTCCAATGGCATCCCTACAAGCAAAACTGGAGCACATTCAACATCGATGCTGAGTAGCTGAAACGTCATCAACGTCATTGAGGCTGTTACTATAACATCAATGGATAGAGGATACATGATGACCCAGTGGACCTACACCTATACATGCATCCGACACCGAAGCCAATTGATGAAATTCGTGCTAAAGTGGACATTCATGAGGCATACTGGAGTCACCGTCATCGCTACCAAAAACCTACTGGAAATGGAAGAGGAATCAAATGGGTTGAGCGCAGAAATTCCCAAGTCTCCTTGACCACGACCATGGATTGATGCTCCACCGATGAGCATGGTGAAATCAGTCCTACTACAATCATTTGGCAACAAGACTCTTTGCAACAGCACGCAGCAGTTACAACATTACTACGGTAAACGAATCGGTACATGACTGCTACGTCAACCTCAAACACTTGGCGGTTTCTTCACCATGTGGAGTAGTTATCATGGCTATAGTGCAGCTGAATTGTATTGACCGCAACTCAGTCACGAACTTATCACCATCTGCTACGCTACTCTGCAACTTGAGTCGGAGTGTCACACGTCCCAATACTTCAACATGGGATACCTGCTACCTACACTCATACAGGCTCAAGCATGTGTGGAATAAAGTACAGAGGAGCAGCTGTTCAAGCATAACTTTGTTGGCTTGATTTTCTCTGAGTATTTTGAGCCTCACAACCCTCAGTGCTTGCCGAAAACGTACGCGCTTTTAACGTCTACCCAGTTTTGAGGGGGGAAGTGTGAGAGGATGAGGCTTGCCGAATCCTTGATCACAACCATTTGCAATTTATTGTGTGATATTTTGTGTGTTTTTCCTTTTCCCGGAAATCCCTGCACTCTTCCCCTACACAATGATATTTCATATATATTAATTATGAGTGTTTCGGACCTTCCTTGTGTGACACATTTTCTATTGCGTGGAGTGTCCCGTCACCGTCACTGTATCTCTAGAATCCCTATCGTGCTTCTAGGTGGTGTTCCTACGGACGGTTCCTCTAATTTCTTGAGCTCTCTTAGAAGGTCCTAGTTACCCTTCCCTAGAGTTCTCGTATAAAAATAGCATTGACTCTTTGCTTGTATTCATTCAACTCTTGATTAGTATCATTCAAGCTTCCACTAAAACTTGGACCTATGACACCCTACACCTGGTATTTCTCTCTCAAATCCTGAAACATCTCTCATTGCTTGCACCCTTCAGTAGCCCTTCATGTGGAGCAGGTGCTCGTGTGCTGGTTCATGTCCAACCATGACCTCAGGTACTGGATCAGACCAGGTCACTTGCTGGCACCTCTCACTTGGTCTTGGCTTGTTTTTCTTCTTTGTCAAAGTATGTCGTTCTCTCTTTGTTAGAGATTTATATCACCCTTCTTATGTGCTACTTTAGAAAGTCAATCCAACTCTTCTCGGGATATCTTAACCAAATAATTGTTATACTGCATGTGTTCATTGATTTTCAATTGAGTTTCTTTCCTCCTGTCTCTTCTCAGGTGCTCCAAACCCTCTTTCACTGTTGCACTGGCTGTACATCCTAATTGGAGTGAAAAGGGGGCTGCAATACCTGCACGACTTTGGCATTGTACATTGCGACATCAAGCCGGCCAACATTCTCATCGACACAAAGATGCAAGTATGTCTTTACTCTCATTCAGACCAATGTTTGCCATGTGACAAGCCATAGATATTATCTGGTCTTGTTAGTAGCATTGTCTAACTTGTTAGAATAGATGGAGTTTTCATGAACCTTGCCTTTGTGTGCACTTTTAATTGCTGGTCAGGCAAATATTGTAGACTTTGGTCTTGTGAAACTCACTGGGGGCACCACTATGCGTACGTCTGTGGTTGCCACTCGAGTGATGGGAACACCAGACTATGTGGATCCAGCCTACTACAAATCACACAAGGCCAAGACAATAGCAGAAGTCCACATGTGATATGAAAAATGGAGCATGCTTAATTCTAGTGATTTGCAGCTATGAAGGAAATGATGTGTCCTGATCAAAATATTCCAATGAAGGAAACATTCGTTCACTCTCCATTCTAATCCAATTGTTTTCTCTGCGTGTTTGGTGTTGGAAGCTTTGGTATGGTGATACTAGTGGACGTCCTAGCACACAAGTCCATGCATATGTCTGGCGGAAAAGGGGCCGGCAAAGAGGAAATTTTGGGGAAACAGGGTAGGGCAAGGGGGTCCAAAAACACAACTTGCCTTGCCTTGCCATCTCGTGCTACGATTGGCAAAACAAGAGGGAAAAACGCTCATGGGCCTATAATCGAATAAAATATTGTGTGTCCATGTGCCTATAAGAATAACAATTTGAGCACAAAAAATGTAGCTCCCTTGTTCTAGCGCTGATGTTTCCATAGGGGGGGTGATGTTGACAGAACGTGAGGAAATGGCTGACGAAGCTTCCACGATCATATCCACACTATTATGAAAGAATTCGCCAGTCAATCAGAGCCAAAACTATTGAGCAAAGATTGTGCTCCTGACTTGCGAGACGCCTAGTAGGGCTGCGATAGAAACTCCTGTATCGAAAATCTGCATCTCATATGTTTTGGAAAAAACAAAAATAAAAAATGGGGCCTATAGGTTATAATTTTTCTCAAATATGGGTGTGCTTATAATGAAACAGAAGATATACGTACACTTGCATTCCATAAGCACATTGGGCCAAATATAGGGATGTGCCAACACCTGGGGGATTACGGTATGCAGCGTGGCTTCTCTGCAACCATGTCATAGGAGTCCATATTCATTATGAGGTGCTATGGTGGCACTATGGTATCCAAGGATCTTCACTAGGATGCACTAGCTGTTGCTTTTTACTGTCCTTTCCGTCTTCAAGACTACCATAGCCAATGCCTTCCACCTTGACATGAGTCAGGTTTCTTGGGAGCACATGACAGCATCTTGTATTGGCTGAGATTTCAATGGTGAGTGAGGCTTGTCAACTAGTTCATTCAAGACTTTACATTGCCTGTGTGGCATCATTCTTGGCAAG